TTAAACTATTTTTGTATTTTACCAGGCAAGGCCCACTGAGCTACGTAGCTCTTTTTCCAGAAGCGACCCGGCCACCACAAACGATAGCTCAACGAAGCGGCTTATCAAGTGGAAATTTATAGCGGCCAAATACTGTAAATGCATGCTTCTAAATGTGGAGGGAAAACGTGGAGGACCCGGAGAAAAAATTGATGCGACCACAGGAAGAGAGACATAAACTGCAGGCATCAGGGTGGCGATCAAACCCACGACGTCCCGTAGACCAGGCGAGGTAGTTAACATCTTGCCTCCGTGGCGCCAGTCGTGGCACAGTTGCCAGGCTCGGAATGTCCACGGCACGGAGCGATATTCAAGGCTGCCATTACGCAGGCCCCTGCCTCTTAAATTGCGCACAATTCATTACGTAAATAGATCGAATGTTATTCGGGAAGTCTCCGCGCCGTTTTTGGTAACCGTATATCTCGCCGTGAATTGTTTTTTGTGCTCTTGCGATTAGCGGGATTCATTGTCTTGACTTGGAGGGGGCGACCGGCTCACTTGGGCACTGTAAATAAGTGAAAATCCACAAAAAAGCACTCAACGTAATGTGTCTTAACCGACCGGCAGTTCCTTTCAGAGAGATATTCCAGAAACGGCCACGTACTTTTGCAAAGCCGTCGCAACATGATATCGAGCATATGTATATCCTGTGCTCAGCTATACATCACATTATAAGCAAACTGACGTTTTTAGGCCTCAAAATAAATACAACATTTACATTAACAATTTAGTCTATGTATAAAGCGTCTAAATTCAATTGCGTCTGAAGATGCCGTAAAATTCCAAATGGTACTACAGTACTACTATGTCGGTTTTTGCGGCTGGGCTCCAAAGAGTTGTACTCGGCACAACTTGAAAACGGCTGTGCAATACCAGGCTGAGATCGGAACTCATCACAATTTAGAACCCGGTTTATTTTGCAATGGGCAAACTGAAATGTCAGACCAATGATCCTAAGTGCAGCGGTTCCTACTCTTTCACGGGAGTAGGGGGGCGGGGGGGCACAGGTTGCAGCGTGGATACCGTGCAGGAATTTTTTTTCTTTCAAATGTGTACTTGGGAACGTCAGAGGCAGGTAACGGCAATACACAACACGTGTGTACGTTGAACTTCTTTCGCGCCGTACGTAGCCAACCGTGATAATATAATTGAAGGTGTTGGGGGGGGACAACACGGACCAAACCGCCGTTGACTTAAAGGGGGGTTGGGGAGAGAGGCGACGGGGGTTGGGAGGGCACGTGGGGGACCAGTGGTCTTGATTGCTTGATTTGGAGGGGCACCGTGCTAAAAAAAAAAAATTGAGGACCCACCGGCTCCGACATGGCCGTTGTGAGCGTGCCGGCCACTTTGTGTGGCTAGCAGTGACTGGCGAGGCACAGGCCCCCGGCTAGCAGTGACTGGCGAGGCACAGGCCCCCGGCTAGCAGTGACTGGCGAGGCACAGGCCCCCGGCTAGCAGTGACTGGCGAGGCACATGCCCCCGGCTAGCAGTGACTGGCGAGGCACAGGCCCCCGGCTAGCAGTGACTGGCGAGGCACAGGCCCCCGGGGGGAGCTTTGTGTGACTGTGAGGAAGGGAGCGGCCCTTCCTCCGATGGCTCCCGAGGAAGCTGAGCTCACTCGGCCGCTCGCTTTTTTTTTGTCCGTTTTAGTTACTGGCCTCGTCCGTTTATTGAGTCGGTTGTTGTTGTTGTTTTAATGAAGTCGGCGTCGCGTTATTCATTTTTCAGACGGTCGTTTTTTGTTTCGCTTTATAATTACGGCCGCTGCTTTTCCTACGCTTTGCGCGTTTATTTACGAACGGCATCTACATACGCCTGTGAAAATACAAACTAGGTTGTTGTTTTTTTTTACACCAAAAAGAATGGTCTCGTAAATACAAAGAGACTCGGGAAACTAAAATGCGAGCGAATAAGTTCACAGAGTTCGTGAAACGGTAAAGGTGCAGCTCTGCAATTGCCTGCCCGCCCCACTGCTGGCAGAAGAGGCTTTCACTCGGGGGCGCTCTAGAGAGACCCTCTTTCGGAGTATTTGGCCTACTACATGGAGTGGCGAGTAGCCGCCCATTGCCCCACCGCACGCAACCTTTGCCACTCGACTAAACTGTGGTCCACCAATCTGCACTGATGGGTGGACAAGAGGCAGGAGGAGGTGATTCATGAAACCCTCACCATGTTTTCAACTGCTGCGCCGGGAGATCGAATGGAGCCGGCAACCTCCGAATTGCAAGTCCCACGCGCAGCGTCACCAATGGAGCTGTCGTGAATGTTGAATTTGCTCGAAGCACGCCCTAAGAATTGGACATGGCGTACTATGCGTGTTGTGTGTAAGAGCTGCTTAGGTTTTTTTTTTATTCCTGACGCTAAAGGGCCTTTGGCAAACCCCTTGAAAAATAATTAAGGCTTACGCGTTTTTGATTTATGACCACGTTTCCTCACGGTGTGTGATGCCATTCCAATGCTGTAGGGTGCTGAAGTCTGCAGGAAAAACAAAGGCACACATCCCCCGTGTATCCGTCTCCCCAAGTTGTTCCCATCTTCCCTGCGATGCTAGTTTTGTGTTACATTTTTCCATGGCCTCACGATCAACTTTAGGTGCATCGAAGCTAAATGAGGTGCAAACTAATGTCCGGCCACTTGAGAGAACTTCCTCTTTGATACATTACTTTTACCCATTATTATTATTCTGCCCATTAAATGATCTATGGACCTTGCTATTATCTGTCCATTTGTTATTCCTATGAACAATGCTTTTGTGCAGCTATGGGGACAAATCCAAAAGTGGTGAAAAACGAATCCTATTATCTGCCACTCATCCGCAGTTTGACCTCGCTATGATTCACCCAGAAGCGGTCTTTTGGAAGTACGACCATCCGCACTCAAGTAAGATTAAGACTAGTAACCCAAAAGTGGCGGGTTTTTTGTGTGAAGATATGTGAAGTAAAATGCACATATAATAGGATCCAGCCATAGTGCTTCCGATATCCGGACAAACACGACAAATGTTGCCGGATAATATTGATGTGGAAAGCCAATGAGTGGGGCTGTGGCACTCAAACACGTTCACTTATACGTGGAGTTGCTTGCGTGCAGCACGCCGCGTCTGCGTACTGGCCGTGCCCCGCGTCACAGCTTTCGTTCCGCCGTGTTTTCAGCGAGGTGAGCGGGGTGAAACGGTTAGCGCCCTCGTTGGAACAGGAGCCGGCCAGGTGTGTGGCCCCATTAGATGGTGTGTTTACGCGACACGCGCGCGCACACACACACGCGCACGCACGCAGAGCCACGTGCAGGTGCGCAGTGCTCGTGACGCGCTTCTGTTTTTCTGGCTCCGAGGACGAAATTTTTACTTCATGCGTACGTCGCGAACGTCACGAGGTTCGGGCAATTACGGCCCGCCGTGGCATGAGCTCAGTCGGCCTCAAAATGGGTTTCAGACGAAACCTCCGGCCTTGGTTGACAGGTGCTTGAAGAATTTTTCCTGAAGCTGGACTCGCATCATCACCGGGGGTGGTCGCCAGAGAATGACGGGACCTCAGATGGAGAAACTGCCTCTCAGGTGCAAATGTGTTCCCACGTGGCCTCCCACCCACCTCTGGCCAATTACTCACGGCCTTGAAATTGCCGCTTGGAAGGGAAAAAAATGAAAGCAGCGTTGCAGAAACAAAATGTGGCCTATGGAAAAAAACAAACGGTGAAACCTTTCCCGAAGAATGTCAAAAAGCATACCTTAACAAGTCTAAATTTTTTAAATAAAAAGTGTCACATTTTACGAGTTATGGAGGAGTGGTATGCTCCAATGGCACGAAGGGTAGGTAATTCTACATTGCCATGGCTGGGGACAGTCTGTCCCATAGGGTAACTACTCTGAACCTCTCAAAAATGCGCTTTAAAAAGTGATGGATAGGCAAAGTTGACACCCAAGACCAGGACTTTTTTCAACTGCCAGTCGTGTCACTCCAACCACGACACATCCTGGCCAGACACTTCCACTACAAAAAGCCTGAATACGCATCCTGAATCCACAACCCATTGGAGTGACCCAGCTGAGAAGGGCCTCCGCTTCGGGGGCTCTCCAGCAGGTACTTTAGCCTACTCTTCCACCCTGACCAGACATTTGGAACATGGGTGGGAGTACCCATACTTGACCCCCATCGCCGCACGTGACCTGTCGGTCAACTGCGGTGCCATCCATTTATTCATCATAAAGGTTTTTGGGTTAGATTGCGTGAGTATAAATGTGTCGTAACCCCCCCCCCACCACCCGACACACACGGCCAGTAAGGTTCGTCACGTAAACAACGTGTCAATTAGTTACTGCTTCAGCCCACCGGTGTGTTGGAGAGCAAATCCACAACATTTACAATTCATGCTGCTGGTTGGCCAACGGCCAAGAGAGGTGCAGACCCTTGTTTCAACTGCCGCGCTGGAAGATGGAACGGGCGATCGCGCGAGCCCGGCGTGCCGACCGATAGCACCGTGGCGGGGGCGACGTGTTGCTTAGAACCGTTTCATTTGTGTGCGCTCAGTTTGTTGTCCTTCACTCGCCCCCCACCCCACGCATGTCTCTGATTAGCAAAGTTGGCTGCGTACCATGCGATAGAAGGTCCCCATACATACGTCAACTAAAAACTCAACTAAACCACTTGTATTTTTTACCAGGTAAGGACCACTGAGCTGTCTAGCTCTTTTTCAGAAGTGACCTGGCCACAATTGATAGCTCAACGAAGTGGCTTATCACGTGGAGATTTATAGCAGCCAAATACTCGTAACGCGTGATGTTGATGCTAAATTTGGAGGGGAAAAAAGCGGAGGACCCGGAGAAAAATCCACGTGACCACGGGGAGGGAGAGAGAGAGACACGCAAACTCCAAATATACAGCAGGCGTCGGGGTCGGGACCGGACCCACGACCTCCTGTATACCAGGCGAGGTGGTTAACATCTCACGTGCATACGTCCACTTTACCTGCAGCTCCCCCTCCAAGATGCTGAGCAGGCACAGGAGGTCCTTCTTGCTCAGCTCGCCCCCCTTGCGTGCGTGCCGCTGCTTGGCTGGCCCCGGAGTCCCCTCCGGCACCGCCGCCGCCTTCTCGCGGCCGCTCATGGTCCCGGCGCGGTGGTCTCGGGGAGCCGGCGCTGCGTTGTCGCGAGCGTCCACTCCTCCTCCTCCTGGCCCCGAGCCCGGCAGCTCGCCGCACCCGTTCTCCCGTTCCGCGCTGTTGCTTCGGCTCTGGTTGTTACCGCTTCCTGATCTCATTGTTACCTGCGGTGGTGGTGGCCAGCCAGAGTGGGGGGGTAGGGGGAGGAATGGGTGATGGGGAGGGGGGTGACCGGGCAGTGGCCAGCAAGGGTGGAGGGGGGGTTGGAGAGAGGGGGGTGGTGGTGTTGGCCACAGAGTGGATGGAGTCGGGGTGGGGAATGGGACAGCGTCAGGGTTCATGGGTTGAGGATTTAAGCAAAGGGTTATCTCAGAGGCTTTACGACTCAGAAGAGCTTTTGTTTTTCAGGAGTACAATAACAAAGTGTATTTTTTTTTACCTGCTACAGAACAGTCAACGATGGTGTGTTTCTAGGGGCTCGTTGCAAAAAAATTGTTTTGGTTTTTCTCTGCCGACGTGTATTTTCGGAGGGCTCATTCTCAGGACGCTTTGTTGTTCGGCAGCGCAGCACTCTGCGCGTCCTTCATCTGCCAGAGCTCGACGTCAACTCTGAAAGCAAAGTCTGAGAAGGTTATTCAATTGTTTGGTTTAGTCATTCAAAGGCAGTTCACCGCAGCCGCCTCCTTGGCATCTTGTTAAGCCAACACGAGGGGCACTCGCATTTCCTGGCCAAGGAAGAGCACGCGTCAGCCGTCCGTGATGTGCTTTTGGGTGGGGGGGAGGGGGGTGGGGTTGTTACCCACGTGTGCCCTTCGGCGTGAAGTCCGACATTTGGCTACGTGTGCAAAGTGCTCCAATGAAGAAGCCTTCCAAGGGAAGGGGCTCCGAGTCTCGTCGTGGCAGAACGACAACAACGGCGCACGGCGGTGAAAAGATGAAAACACATCGGACAAGTAATAGGCCATGATGGAGATTTTTTTTTTTTAGTTAGACCGTGTAAATATTAATGTGTCGTTAAACCCGCCACCACCCGACACAGCCAATTAGTAAGGTTTGTCACGTAAACAAAACGTGACAATTCGTTACTGGTTCGGCACAACTCCGGTGTGTTGGAGAGTAAACCCACATCTACAATTCGAGCACGACGTTGATTACAACCAGCCTCATCAGGCGACAGCCACAGTTGTAATCGGCATCAAACCCGGCGGTTACCTTCTTCGGAGCAGATGCTCTCGCTCTCTCCCTGTCCCGTTAAAACTTCACGCAACCCCTCGTGTGAGGACCAGCCCCGTCCAGTGTTTGTGTCCACAAACGGATCAACAAGGCGGGCACGAGTTCACGCCCAAGCTCTGTTGTCGCGCGGATTAGGGGAGATGCGGCGAGACCGCGTTTCCACGCCTTCCCGTCGACGACGTCGCAGCCTCACCCCTGCGACCGAGGGTTGCCGCCTCTGATGAGGTAGCAACAAACCAGGAGGGGTTTCCTTGGGAAGAAGAACAATATCCCGAGGTACCAGGAGAGAGGAGGGGCGGGGGGGACGACGACGACTTACGTGTGACTGCGTCTCGTCGAGCGGCACGTCATTACGCAAAAAAACACCGCGGGACATTTACTGTCCCGCGGGACGGCTGCCTCAACACGAGGGCAATCCTGGAAAAGCCCGGAGAGGTGGCAACGCTCCCCTGACCTCTTCCTTCCTATTGGTACGACCGCTCGTATGTTTGTTCTATCATGGATCTTCGAGAGAGAGACAGGCCGTAGACTACCGCTCACGCAGCGAGCGACGCGACTTTGTACTTTCCCATTGCAAGGCACCTCAGGAGAGCGCTTTCAAGCGGAAATTCATTTTGTCGATGCGAATCCGCGTGGCTGAGCGCGGTCAAAAAAAGACAGCCCCCCCCACACGCCCAGTGTGTCCCCCTCGACATGTGTCGTGCATTGCCGTACGGCACCGTGTCCGACGTTTCGCCGCACGTTGCCGGAAGCTTCTTAAGCCCACCGAATGCGCGCGGTAAAACCCGACGACGAACGTGGGGGGGGGGAACTGTGCAGCGGCGGGCCACGAAAGAACTTGACAGCAGTCGACGGAGCCCTTGGCCTCGCTTCAAGGTTAACAACTCTGTGGCTGGCGAGGGCAGCACTTGGGAGCTGCCTTGTAATTATGCAACCGACCTGTAAACTCACACGCAACTCAAACAGCATAAAAAAACCTCCTAGCCCCTTCACCGACTCCCCCAACCCCCCCTTCCCTCGCCGCGTACCAAAAACAATAACAGCGTAAAAACACGCGCGCTCGCACGGACGCGCGCGCCGTAACGCCGCGTGTTTTGGGTCGCGCCAAAAGGCGCCTCCGCTCGCCGAGAAATTTCGGCTAAATCTTAAAAATCCCGCGAATCCTAAGAATGCGCAGCGGCGAGCGAAGGCGGCCCCATATATGTACAAGCGCGGGCGGGCGGGCGGGCGGGCGAGGACTGGCGTCTTGTCAGCTGGGACGCCGCGGTGTGCGACCCCGTCCTGCCCGACGGCCCCGTGCGCTCTCCACGTCGCAGGACGACGGCGCCTGTGAAAGTGGCGCTTGCGAGCAGCGCCTGTGAAGGGGCGGTGTGGCCGGCACCACGCCCGGCCGCATTCGTCTCCATAGTGGCGACGTTTACACGCAGCGCCACGTACTCATTTGAGGCTGAGTCGACCTAGCGGAGGCCCAGGACCGGTGCAGATATTCGCCACTCTTATATTGGTCAGTGAGCGGTAATTTAACTCGGGTCGCCGGGTTCTTACCACAGCACGCTAACCGCTAGACACATGCACACACACGCAGACACACGCACACACGCATACACGCGCACACACACGCATACACACGCAGACACGCACACATACGCAGACACACGCACACGCAGACACACGCACACACGTGCATACACGCGCACGTACACACACGCAGACACACGTACACACACGCACACACGCATACACACGCACGTACACACACGCAGACACACGCACACACGCAGACACATGCACACACGCACACACACGCACACACACGCAGACACACGCACGCACACGCAGACACACGCACACACGCAGACACGTACACACGTGCACACACGCAGACACTCGGCAACGAGGGCACGAAGAATCCCCGCGGCTCACCCTCACCTCGCTCTGCCACCTCTTCCGCCAGCCCCTCTCGAGGTGACGTCTGTGTCGGGGCACGCTCCTCGGTAATTTCACACAGATGGCCATTACGGTTCGCTTGGCGCGCAGGCCAGGTGAACCTCCCCCCACCCGACCCCACTCCCCCGACCCCATCAGAGGACGTGCGGTGCTGTCGTGGGTACGTCGTCGTGCGTTATCGCTCCGCGATACCGGCATGCACGGCTTTGTTTGCATTGTCGCAATGGTTTGTACGTTCGATCAAGTATTGAGTTTATTTTATAACTCGGGGAGGGCAGAGTGCAGCTCACCCGACGTGCTTTTTGGGTCGTGCCGCGTGTTCGGCGCGATGGCCAGAACCTTTCCGAATTCAGCTGCTGGCTAATGTCAAGCTCTCAGTACGCGGCGCGAAACGTCGGACACGGTGCCTAACAGCACGCGGAGAGATGTATGCGGCCCAACGGTGACAACACGCAGGCGGTGGTTGTAATCGTTCTTTTTGCAAGGAAGACGTAGGGGGCGCAGAAAATTAGCCGCCAAAAGTTCTGCCAAAAAAAACCCGATGAATTGTACGATGCATTTATCTTTTGCACTCGTGAGTCATGAAATGGATTTGGCATGGCCATTCATTGTTTGTCATTTCTTGTGCCGAGATATTCCCGTTCAGTGAAGGGAAAAATAAAGAAATCTCAATTGGCACTCGCAACTTCCAAACTTGGTAAGGGACCTTTTTTCGGTACGTTGCAAAAAGCACATTTACATCATTCTCACGCAGTTATATTTATCTTTGTGGGTGCCTTATAAGGAGATTTTTTGGAAAGTCTACCATGAGTGCCCATTAGTACACAGCCAGAAATGTTACGCAAGCATTTTTGCCTGTGCATAAGGACAAAAAAATGGATTACTGCATTCCATTTTTAGACCATACCTTGTTGACTGAACATTAAGAATTTAAATCCTCCGTGCATTTTTATTTTCTATTATTAGGTCCTCTATTAGGTCATTTATTGATTTTAACATTTTCCAAAAATGACAATGAGTTGCATTTATACAGCTTTAGTCACAACTGAACATTTTAACCATAAATGGCTCCTGCCTCCCTCCTCCAGACTCCTTCCGATCCGCAGTGCCGTTGCCAGACTCGTCGCCCATACCCGTGAATGAGGCCGCATCAGCCCAGTCCTCTGATATTTCCACTGTCAATCCGGTCCCAGATCAGCTTCAAGGTCACTCTCACTGTCTTCAGGTTCCTCCACGGACTTGCTCCTGCCTCCCTCTCCCCTCTCATCCCACTCTACTCCACGCACTCTCCTACCTCTCATCTCAGTCTACTCCCCTCCACACACTCTCCTACCTCTCCTCTCTCATCTCACTCTACTCCCCTCCACACACTCTCCTACCTCTCATCTCACTCTACTCCCCTCCACGCTATCTCCTACCTCTCCCCTATCATCTCACTCTACTCCTCTCCACATACTCTCCTACCTCTCCCCTCTTATCTCACTCTACTCCCTTCCACGCATTCTCCTACCTCTCCCCTCTCATCTAACTCTACTCCCCTCCACGCACTCTCCTACCTCTCCCCTCTCATCTCACTCTACTCCCCTCCACACACTCTCTTACCTATCATCTCACTCTACTCCCCACTGCACACTCTCCTACCTCTCATCTCACTCTACTCCACTCCATGCACTCTCCTACCTCTCCCCTCTCATCTCACTCTACTCCCCACTACACACTCTCCTACCTCTCATCTCACTCTACTCCCCTCCACTCGCCCTCTTCAATTGAATGTAGGACCCTTGAGCCACACGATATACATGACCTCTCTTGCAAGGGAGACCTGGGGTGCGTCGTCTTTCGGAATACGACAGAATATTTACAAACATTTAAGTGTAACAGATCTGGACTCCACAGGGTGGGCCAGATGTCTTGGGGCCCCCCATTTTTTCCCCTTTGCACATTCATTTCTGTTTTCAATAAACCTTACTTAGAAAAAGCATCA